TTACCCGACTAGAACTGCGTTCTGTCGAACGCAATAAAGAAGCCTCGACTGTGTTCTGTTTTGTTGTAAAGCATACAGGTGGAGCACGAACATGAAAAAGTGTAGGGGATTGGCTAACGAGACGACAGCTGTCAATCACAAACTGGACTTCAGCTAAGCTTTCGGTTTTGAGTGGCTTGGCGGAATGGCTTTCGAGAGAAGAACGTTTGCTTCAAAGTTAGCTTTTAAGCTTAATTTAAAAATATGTATCTAAAAGTTTCTTAGTCCAGAGGGATCTGACCGCATTGTGGCTCGTGAAAACGTGCACAAAGGAAATTACGAAAGAGCTCAAAGCTTGCGGATGAAAATGCAAAATGCTGAGCTGTATTTGAAAGGAACTACAGTTACGATTATTTAGGGCTTATAGTCTATACGTGTTTTGTCGGAATCTAGCAAAACGTTTTATTTTGGTACAGTTTTAACACTACTGTTGTCAACAATGGTCTCCGTGGAGCCATATTTATTGCAGACAAATAGCTCGTTTCCATTGCGTTTGTCTGAGTCACAGGGGATGTTTAATTTGGGTCAAATTTGTCAAAATTCCGAAGCAAAAATTTGAAAAAGCCAACTTACTGTCATCAACCCGTGTCCTGTTCTCTGATAAAAACACCCTGTTTCAGCCAATCACAGCGCGCGTTATATGGAAACGTTATTATAAAAGGATAACTCTGAAATCTAATTGTGCATTGTAAATGTATGAAAAAATACTAAATTAAAATAAATTTTCTATACGTCAACCAGTTAAGTTGGCATTCATTAAGTAGTTCCTTGTACCACGCTTAAGACTTGAAATACTAGACGCTGATCTGACTATAACTAAACTAATAAATAATAAATAAAATAAATCACTTAACTATACATATGCACTGATTGCTTTGATTCCTCACTCTCACCTAAACGACCTTGATTTCTCATTGTCACTCTTGTTCGTGTGTTAGTTCGGATACCATAAAAAGAAGTACACTGTATCCACGTTGCCAGTTCGATACGACTCATCAGTGTACGCGCATGCTATTCTTGATACGAAAATTGTTTGCGCAAAAATGCGTTTCCAAGGAGTACTGATTATCTTGGTTTAGCTGCGTTCTCCCTAACTAACTCAACACGTTTAAAATGTACACAAATTCAGAAAACCTCGCTCTTAAGGCAAGGTCTGCATCTTGAAAAGGAAAAAGCAAAATTGAGGGGAAAATAAAACCTGGGAAATACACAGGTCGCGGTTTAGTACACAGCACGCACTATTAGCTTTTTATTCACTATTCTCATTTTACTCCCTGTGAGTTACACAACTTCTGCGCACGCGCAAGTGGATACGGTGGGTGAGGCCGAAATTAATGCTTTACAAGTTGCAAGATCATGACTACGAATCGCCAAGTACCCATACTAGTACTTGCTAATATTATATTTGTTTAAACCGTGGCCGCGGACGCCAGCAAAGCGAGAAACATTTATACACCTTTTTTTTTAGTTCTTCTGTTTGCAGTAATCGATTTAGTGTGGGGACACAGGGTTGGGTCGAAATTTCCCGCTTTCCGTACCCTGCTCTCACGCCATCTGTACTTGTCTCCTGCTTCTCGCCTCAGGTAAATTAGATTTAAAGTCATGCTACTTGACATTCTATAGCCCGAGCGAGAATTTTCGTTAGCTCAGAGATAAAATTTTGTCGTAAGCCCCTGAGAATGTCTAGTGCAAGAAAAAAAACCATTGTTGGATTCGCATTAGCGTTTTTTATTTATCTCAAGTTTCCAGCCCTTTCATTTCTTGTCTACCGTACCCTCCCACCCCATATTCTCCCCGATTTC